CGCCTCGTCGCGAATCCGAATTTCGTAACAGTAACCGACGTTGAAAAACCGTAATTCAAACTGAACCGTCGGTGAAACCGACTTTCTTCAATTCCACCGAACGCCGCCTCCAGAAAGGTTGGGAAAATTCTGGCGGTCCAGAACGTTCTCCCTTCTCTTCCTCCTGAAACCCTCGTTTTTACCAGCTCTTCCTCAGGCTCTCACACCTAACTTCTCCCGCCGTCAGAAACTCAATTTCAAGCCTATTCTTTCCCACCGCCATAGGTAAGGCATTTTCCAGGCATCCCTTTTGTCGTTTTTTCGCTCTTAAAGTCGGTGCAGGTATCTGTATCTCTCTGTGCTTGTTTGCGTGTGTGTACATGTCTGTTCGTTCTGTTTGTTTCACTGTGGGGTTGCTCTTCGATCCGTTCACAACTGTTACGTGGTGTTGGACATTTTTTACGTGCGTTTGCATTCGTATTTGTGGGATGTGTGTTTCAAAGTGTGGTGTTATTGTGTGTCATGCATGCAAGTAGAGGTTGTTAATCGTCTTTGGGGCAGCGGGTTTCCGCTGTTTCAACGACCCCATCAACCTCTGGTTCTGCATGATGCATTTAAACATTCATTTTGAAGCATCCATTCCACCTCATACCTCGTTCATTCGTTCGTGTTGATGCCAGAATATTATGCTTGGTCGTACGATCCGCCGTATTTATCGACGAGGTTGGGACGGTCGAGCAAGTTCTTGGTTTCAACATGATACGAACTCATACACGTAGTTACACTAGGCGAACTGTGTCGACAAAGGTCGCTAAAACAATTTGCCCAAGCTGAGTTTCGCGAAAGCTTGTTGTGACTATGGGCTCTTTTCTCGGCAGCGACTGGATTTCCTTTCAGAAGCTTGTGGCTGGCATTCTCCCAGCTGAATCTGAACTGCTCATACTTTCTTCAGGCTGGGCTCGGCTCAGAGTCGATTCGCTCTATCCCCCCTGAACGAATCTAGGCCGTTTGGGAAATATATTCGTTTTCGAGAACCGCTCTTCAACGCCTCCTTGTCTCGTTATGGTAAAGTAGAAACACTGTCTACCAAATTGATAGAAACACAGTTCGATATTCTACTCATCCTATGTCCCCTTTCCCTGGTAGCGTGGGTCTGGAAACCGTAAGGCGTGAAGCCAGGCATCACATGGAACGTGAAAGCCTGAGATTGGCGTGAAGGGCGAAGCGAGGTAGCCGTGGCCGTAGCCGTGGCTCCCGAGCACATGCAAGAGACATGGCTTGGGACTATTTTTCGTGAATTCTGCACGCACGCATTCGCTGCATGCTCGCAAAGCAGTCTGATGGGATGACGAACTGGCGTGAGTGCTCTCGATTCGTATCTAAGAGTTGATTCAGTATGCGTCCGCCTAAGCCTTTGCGGCTATTTAAGTTCGACGAAACCTCACCTTGCAAAGTCGATCGCCTTCTCGAACAGACAAGCACCCGAGCAGTTCTTTTAAACCTTCGTTCGCCAGTTCCTTATCCAGATCGGTCATTCCGCAGCACAGATACTATTGACTCTGTCGCCATGGCTGATTCCACAGGATCGATGAAGGTCATCGTTCTGTTCAGCAAGGTGAGCATCTTCGACCTTATGAATGGTTATTGTCATTCAAATTCCACTCCTCATGAGCTCTCTGATTCCGAATTTCAGGCACAAGGACAAGTATTGTATCTCGAGGCCGGGAAGGATTTTGTCGATCTTCTCATGTCACTCCTTCGTTTGCCGACCGCGACTTTGCTGAAACTGCTCAAGGAAACCGGGAATCTGAACCGAGGTCGGAAAGTCGGAATTTTCAACGTTTTCACCAGCGCTGACAAGCTGGACAGGTCGTACATGAAGGTGGAAAAGGATGTTCTTCTGAACCCCTCACCCACGGAGCTGTCCTCTCAACTGAAATTCCTTAGCTGCCAGGAGGAGGCTGTCTACTACACCTGTCCAACTGCAGAGCATTGGTCCATCTCACTGGTTCCAGGTGTGAAGTGTGGCAGCTGTGAGCAGATCATGACTCAGACGGTGAAGCAGATTGACGGAGAGACCGTGAATGCTTCCCAGGCGCTGTACACATGCGCTCAGCATCACAGGGTGGGAAATACAGCCACAAGTGTGTGCCCTGACTGTTCTGCTGCCTTGGACAAGCCTTTGACTCGTGCTTGTAACGATCAGTTGTTAGGGCATCCTGGAGGCTTTGTGAAGGAAACTGTGACTTTCATGGTCACGGATGACCTTGAATTCTTCCCCAGCTCCACTATTAAGTGCATCAAGGCGCTGAGCAGCATGGGTGTGAAGTCCATGGCTGATCTGGAGAGCTATGAGGTCAACGTGACCAAGGATCAAGTAAGTTCCTGGGCGTGCATCTGTTCCACAATAGAATACCACGTTAACAATTGTATGTTATTTCGATGATACCTTACCATATAATGCTGCTCTACATGCAGGCACTGGCGCTAGTCCAAGCTGCGCTGGCATCATCCACAGCTCTGAATGATGTGTTTGGGAGTGTTATTGGAAGCGTTAGTGGTGCTGGTGGTGATGTTACTACTGAAGCTGGTGCATGAGATCGATTATCAGTAGGCAAACTCCTCAAATGGAAGTGCTCATGTACAGAGGACGGCTGTTGTTCAGTAGTGTAGGTGTTTTGCTTGGCCTCTTGTAATGCATCACAGTAGTGTGCAGTTCCTTTGGCTATGTTGGCGTCTGTGCAACTTGTGAACAGGGAGCACCTCGGTCATCCCAGCATCAGCTCGCATACATTCACGCTTCATGTTCAGTGTTTACGTTCATTAACCTAGCAGTGCAGTGAGTCTGCTTGAACCCAGCTCTGGCTGATGCCACAATAGTCAAGCCTTAGAAGGTGACCAATGTGTGCGGTGAAAAGGAAGAGACGTCTCTGCCTGCTGTCATGTCAGTCTTGATGAGCGAAAGCTCCAATGCCATCACCGCCATCAGCTTCTGGTTGAGGAGAAGGATGGGGATAAGGGGTCACAGTTACCGCATATGGTAGAAGCAGCCATTGGAGATGGGGAAAGGGATGTGTCATCTCTCTAATCTAAGCTCTACTCTTTGTAGGCGCATGTATGGTGGTACACATGCAGTGCACAAGCAACGACAGGTGAGGTGTGTATGTGATATGCATGTGATGGTGGGACATATGCTGTGCAGAAGTAATGGCAGGTGAGCATGCGAGTGTGATGGTGGTTGGGACACTGCAGAAGAAGACAGGGATGTTCGTTTGAGCAGGGGCAGCAGGGATGTTCGTTTGGCACCATTGCATGGGTGGCCTGGCATGTCATATCACAATTTCATAACGTCGTAAAATAACCTCTTTGTTCATCAAAGGAGTTGTGACAAAAGGTGGTGTAGCAGCGGAGGAAATGAATGGTGCCCCATGGTTTGCAGAAGTTGATGTCTCATGACTGACAACAACACATGGCTGATATGCATGAGCAAAGGGTGTCGCTGGACAGGTCACGAGCTGTGGGTATCCTCATCACATACCTTCGTAATGAGCCAGCCCTGGCTCAACCCTCACCTTTCTGGTTGAACCATAACCAGCCCTCGCTCGTGCGGAATGGATGATGCAAGAATTCACGATGTATGAGTTAATACTTCAGGATGACTGAGATGTCAGAAGTGACAATATATCCACGGTTTGTAAGGAGTTGCGGTGTATGGGTGGAATGGCATGACTAACCATGCAGGGTGGATGTCATGAGTGAAATTGCATGCTTGACATTATCCCTGAGAACACATGGCTGGCTGATGGGTCATGAACGACATGTGTGATTGATCTGCCAGGACTGATGATGCATGTCACACACCCTAGAACACGACTCAATCATGGCTATCAATAAGTGCCACCGACAGATATGTTACGAACCAGTCATTTCTATCCAGAGGTGCTCTGCTGCATCGAGGCCAACTTGAATAGAAAACTCTGGATAGCTGAATGTTGGAACTGACAGTTCATGACTGATAGGGCATGACTCACAATGCATGACTCACAATGCATGACTCACAATGCATGACGCACAATGCATGACTCACAATGCATGACTCACAATGCATGACTCACAATGCATGACTCACAATGCATGACTCACAATGCATGACTCACAATGCATGAGTCATGACTCACAATGCATGAGTCATGACTCACAATGCATGACTCACAATGCATGACTCACAATGCATGACTCACAATGCATGACTCACAATGGATGACTCACAATGCATGACTCACAATGCATGACTCACAATGCATAACTCACAATCCATGACTCACAATGCATGACTCACAATGCATGACCCACAATGCATGACTCACAATGCATGACTCACAATGCATGACTCACAATGCATGACGCACAATGCATGACTCACAATGCATGACTCACAATGCATGACTCACAATGCATGACTCACAATGCATGACTCACAATGCATGACTCACAATGCATGAGTCATGACTCACAATGCATGAGTCATGACTCACAATGCATGACTCACAATGCATGACTCACAATGCATGACTCACAATGCATGACTCACAATGCATGACGCACAATGCATGACTCACAATGCATGACTCACAATGCATGACTCACAATGCATGACTCACAATGCATGACTCACAATGCATGACTCACAATGCATGAGTCATGACTCACAATGCATGAGTCATGACTCACAATGCATGAGTCATGACTCACAATGCATGACTCACAATGCATGACTCACAATGCATGACTCACAATGGATGACTCACAATGCATGACTCACAATGCATGACTCACAATGCATGACTCACAATGCATGACTCACAATGCATGACTCACAATGCATGACTCACAATGCATGACTCACAATGCATGACTCACAATGCATGACTCACAATGCATGACTCACAATGCATGATTCACATCGATACATGACTGGGATGCGATGCAGCAAGGTGGAATGGATCATGTTGCTGCACGGCCTATACCTGTGCTGCACAGGCTGTGCATACTGCCTCCTCCACCTTCTGCTGCCTCTGCTGCATCTCGCCAGTCCTGGGCTCACACAGAGCAGGGAGAGTCGTGGATATTGAGCTGGAAGGATACAATGGCAGAGAGGGCGGTGCAGTGCAAAAAAAGGCCCAGTGAGAAAACGAGGCAAAAATATGAAACAGAATGGTGATACGAACGGTGATCTTGGGAATGGTCAAACATGTGTGCCTGCGATAGCAAAGGCCATCGCATGATCCACTCCACACCAATATTGCACCCCCCCCCCCCCAACAACAAAAACCAATCCATAGTTGATATGGCATGACCGACAGTGCTTGGCTGATATGGCATGGCATGACTGAAAATACTTGTGTGATATGGCATGACGGGCAACTGTTTGGCTGATGTGGCATGACATAAGAATTGGCTCATATGGCATACGGTATTTGCCATTTGCTTGGCGGCTATGACATGACTGGCAAATGCTAGACTCACAAATGCTTGGCCGATAGGGGAAAAAAGAAAACAAGCATCGTACATGGTAGAAGCAGAGCAGCCATGTTAGATGGGGAAGGGATGTGTCATCTCATTAAGATCTACTCCTGGTAGGTGTGAGTGTGGTGGTGGGACACGTGCAGGGAGGAAATTGGCAAAGAAGGATGTTTGTTTGAGCGGGGGCAGTGGCCTGAACAATGAGACTGGAATGAAGAGATGGCGTCTGAATGGCGGTAGCAGCCATGTTAAGTATCGGAAATTGACAACTCTAAGGCTTTGTCTCAGCCCAGCACCAATGATTGGTGGAACCATGGCCTGCGGTGAATGTAACACAAATCACAAAAGTATGAAACATGTGTATATAACTTTGTATTGTTCATTACATTGCAGCAGTAGCTAGCTGTACTTTTGAAACTGACAGTGCATGATCACTATGCATGACTAATAGCACATGACTCACAGTGCATGACTAAGAACAAGCTCAAGAGGCTGAGCAGCAGCGGACGGAGAACTATATTGCGGCAGTTGCTTGAGCTTGCTCTAAACGCAGCAGTGCAAAGGGGGGGGGGAAGAGGGGGATTTAGGAAGAGGAGGGAGGGAGGAGGGGAGACCATTGAGGAGACCGGAGGAGACAGAGGCGCACAGAGTAGCAAAGTTGGAATGACTTAGCCTGTGATGGAGCAGGTCGACAGGGTGGGAGAGGGGGCGACAAGAATATAAGTCAGGGGGGTGCGAGGGTCACGCAGTTGGGGATGTGTCGATGCCGGGAGAGCAAGAAGGAAAAACGCAATCAGCAGCAATAGCAAAAGACTAAGCAGAAGCAGGAGCAGCAGCGAGAAATCCCTATTTCCCTCTCACACCGCCAGCCATTCTCAAATACCCCTTCCCAGGCCCCAGCAACCACAGCAATTGACACAGCCCCAGCCACCATCCCCCTCCCCCTGCGTCCCCGCTCTGAACGTCCCTCCAGCTGCTCTCCACCATCATCACCCCTCCTCTCTGTGCAGGAATGGTGGTGGAGAGCAGCTGGAGAGATGTCCAGAGCAGGTGCAGAAGGAGGAATATGGTGGCTGGGGTTGTGTCTGTTGCTGTGGCTGCTGGTGCCTGGGAATGGCTGCTGGTGCCTGGGAATGGCTGCTGGTGCCTGGGAAGGGGTACTTGAGAATGGCTGGTGGTGTGATAGGAAGATAGGGATTTTTCATTCGAGCTTAAGTCAATTTATCTTCTCTAATGGAGTGGAGAAGCACGAGCGGGAGGAGGGGTGGCAAGATCAACGGGTAGGGAAGGTGCAGAGGGGGGGAGTAGGAGGGGGATAAGAAGGTGGATAGAGAGGTGGAAGGGGAAGCGATGGAAGGGGGAGAGAGGGGATGAGTTTTTTGTGGACTGGCATGAGCTCTGCTGCCTGTGCTGCCACGGCACTCTGCTGCACCGTGAACACATTCACATCGCCTCCATCAAAACTCCTTGCGATGGCTGCACACACCTGCAACGGGTGATCGGCATGAGGGGGCGGAGGGGGGGGCTTTTTTTCTGTTCCCTCTGCTGCCTCCGCGGCCATAAAGCGTTGCCGCGCCATGAACACATTTGTTGTGCGAAGGGAGGGGACAGGACAGAGAGGCACGTACAATATGTGCACGTATATGCGAGCACACGCATGCACCAGCAATACCTGTGTGAACGCAGCAGAAATACCCTCGACTGAACTCGACATTCCCAAATTGATCAGAAGTGTATGCTGCGCACGTCTGGCATACTGCGATTGCAGCCACCAGTACGGCTAAGATGATCTCCACCAAATGGCGGAGCAAATTGCATCCCCAGGCGCACCACCACATGCATCCCTTCCCTTCCCGCACACGGCAGCTCCCCTGTCTCTCACTCCCCATCCCCCCTTCCCCTCGCTACCGCAACTCACCCTGCTGACCCGAATAAAGGCCCGAACAGCAGCTCCTGGAGGTGCACTACGAGCATGCATTGCATCGGTCCAAAATGGACCGCCCTTGCTGTGACTGGGCGGCGAACTGCATCTCCACGCTCCGCCACTCCCACCTGCGCCCGCGCCCATCCCAGTCCACCACTCCCCTACGGCCCCGCGCAGCTGCTCCACGTTGCGCTCGCCTCCTCCCCGCCGGCTCGTCTTCACCCCTCCGTACTCCGCGCCTCACCGCTGTGCCCTGTCCCGCGCCTCATCCCCTTCCGCGCCTCACTGCTGTGCCCTCTTCTGCGCGTGTTCCCCTTCTGCGCCTCATCGTCTCTGTCCGTGCAGGGCACACGCCGCATCCTGAAAGCGACGGCCGTCCGGCAATGCGTCGCCGCAGGCCGTCGCGCGCGGAACATATCTCCCATCGCGCGCTAAGCCCCGATCCTCTCCCCCCCCTCCACTCTCCCTCTTCCCCCCAGTCTCTGATCCGCCATCTTTGCCTCCGCCCGCCAATTCGTCTGCCTCAGATCGTGTCGTCAGCGGAAAATCTCCTCGTCGCGCGCTGCACCGATGCTTCCCGCCGCTGACGCCGCCGCCGAACATCTCCGCCGACGTTACCGCACGTGCCCCTGTTGGCCTGCGAAATTCCTGCTTGACTGACGTTGACCGCGATGATTATTTCCCGCTCTGCCCCTTCCCTCACCCGCCCCTTCCTCCCGAATCCCCTCCATTTCCCATACGCCCCTACCTTTTACACTTCTTCCCCAGCCCTGCCTAGGGATCGTCCTACTGTGCTTCTCCGTGGACGTTAGATGCTCTTTGAATCGAAAACATTGAGCAGATCGCAAGCTGATCTGGACTCGCTGACGGGATCATACAAGCGAGTCGCAAACTGCACTGTTACGCTATACACCGTCGCACGATGTGACACACCCTGTCGCTGGTGGCTGTTGCGTCTCACAAGTGCTTCCGCGAACGGAGTCACTACTAGACTCTACACGCACACACGCTACAAGCACATTGAGTGGCGGTGGCGGATGCCGCAGATCGAATGTCGATTGTTCACTAGAGGCAAAGGTATCACATCGCCGCGCTCGCTAAAACGCTGACGCTCATGTCGTTGGCGACAGATTAGATGACATAAACGCGAGTTACCATGCGGAACGCGCACAGCCCTGGGTAGCACACACGGAATTTTGAGCAGGTTGTGGAATTTGCACAATTTACACCCAAACCTTGTTTGTTCCACACTGATCCAGGTTCTGTGCGATTCAATATACTTCCAGTCTGGTGATGACCAGAAATTGCAGCGTTGAAAGTGACTTCAATCCCCGTTTTCATCCCCCCTTCTATCGCCGCGCTCTGGTGTCATGTTGGAACTTCAGCTCCTCAGTTGAAGTTACCTGCTCAACCCCAAATCCGCACTCTAATTCAGGTGATCGCAGATTTCACTAGTGTTTGATGAGCCTGAAGCAGACTCGTCACCCTAAATCAGGAGATAGATCTAAAGCAGGAGACTGGTGTGGATTGGACGTGAAACACACCTTCCAGGCTAGGAGGACATCATCTCCTGTCATGATGCTTTCAGGCTTACTTCTGTCACGTGCTAACAGAACGACGGTGCTTGCATTGCACACGATATTACGAGCTAACAAATCATGGCGCTTCGAACCTTACACGTGTTAGGAGCTCAGATGGCCCTTTAACGATTACAAGATTACATGTGTCAGGATACATGCCGGTTAGGAGACAAACGAGCCAAGTGATCTAAGCCTCCCTGATTTTCCAATAATGAATTATCAGTGGGTGCGAGCCGCGTTGTAACAATCACGGCCCTTATAACAACGGGCAACCGTGTGTTGAATATAAATCACCCTTGACAACATTTATAAATTCAAGATACAAGGCTTTCAAGATTTACTAATCCCATCAAGGGATAATTTAGCCTTGATAGTACTCCTAAGCTTGAGAGAAGAAGGGGAGCTTGAAGAAGGTTGATGAAACTTTAATAAGTAGGTAGGAGCTTCTTGTAGAGCTTGTTCTTGAAAAAATCACAAGTCTAGTTGTGTAGGGGAGCTTAGGTATTAGGAGAACCCAAAAGACTTAGAGTGAAAATCCCATTTCCAAGTTAGATTGTTGGAGTTGAGAAGTGGGAATGAGCTTGAGAACTCCAACCCCTTCCATCATACCCCTTGGGGCTTTTCCCAACCATGGCTTCCATGGTTGGGGAGCTAATAGGCTTGGAGCCTAGGTGGCAATTTAGTTTGGTTGGGAAAAACCCAACTTAGCACAATTGTATGGTTGTTTCAAGTTTGTGTGGATTGTAACAACAACTGGCACAATTTGATTGGTTGGAAATCCAACCTTTCCAATCTTCACTTTGATGGGTTGGAAGTTTCCAAACCTCAAGGTTGAGGGTTGGGAAAACCAAACCAATGTTCTTCTCCAACTCAACCTTTCCGATTGCCTTCACGTCATTTCTCATCGAGAAAGTCTCTCGATGTTGACTTAGGAAGTTAGCGGTAGATGAGGCAGAGTAGGTTATGCGTTACACTCCTCCCCCACTAGGTGGCAACGTCCCCGTTGCCTCAGGGTGCTTCTGAGGACGAGCGCTTCGAGTACGCCGTGTCACATTACGACCAGGGTCAACGCCCTCCACTGGTTGTGCGGCAGCTCGTCGAGCCAGGTCTGTCATGTATGACTGAACTGTAGTTTCAGTCAGATGCTCTTCTGGCTCCCATGAGTTGTGTTCAGGCCCATAGCCTTTCCACTTGATGAGGAACTCTCGTACTGTCTTGCGGCCGCGTTGTCGATCACGATGCATTAGCACTCGTTCGACTTCATAAAACAGTTCCTCCCCCAGGACGATCGTTGGTGGCGGTAAGTACTTGCCCTCTGCAATGTACTTATTCAACAGAGACACATGGAAGACGTTGTGAATCTGTAAAGTGTCAGGTAGCTTAAGCTTGTAAGCTACCACGCCAACACGCTTGATCACCTCGAAGGGCCCAATCCATCGAGGGAACAGCTTTCGTGCTCCAGGGATTTTGAGACGAATGTTCTTCGTGCTTAACAAAACTTTGTCTCCAACCTCAAACGAGGCTTCCCGGCGTTTCATGTCGGCGTAAGATTTTTGTCGCTGCTGAGAGAGTTGTAGCCAATGGCGAGCAGACTTAAGCGCTTCTTGCTGCTTGCCAACAAAATCTTTGGCAGCTGGAATTTTCAATCCGCCGATCCCATGCGTAGCAGGCGTTGTGGGATGCCGACCATAGTTCAGAATGAAAGGTTTCTCACGTGTACCTTCATGAACTGAATTGTTCACTGCGAATTCAACGACAGGTAACAACTCGTCCCAATCATCCTGACTTGGGCTAATGAATGAACGAAGCATCTGCTCAAGTGTCTGGTTTGTTCGTTCCGTCTGCCCATCGGTTTGTGGGTGGAACGCCGATGACAACTTAAGCTTCGTTCCTAGTGTCCGTGTGACTTCTTGCCAGAACCGGCTTGTGAAGCGCGGATCCCGGTCGGACACCAATACGCGTGGTAACCCGTGTAAGCGGAAAACGTGTGCCACAAACAATTTGGCCGTATCTTCCGCTGATACGTCAGTTTATCGTAGCCACGAAATGCACCATTTTTGTCAGACGATCCACAAACACTAAGATCGCTGTATGGCCATCACGAGTCTTAGGAAGGTCCGTGATAAAATCCAAGGATACGCTCTCCCAAGGCTCATTCGGGATCTCGAGTGGTTGAAGCAAGCCACCAGGCTTCTTTGTGTCCGTTTTATTTCGTGCGCATGCGTCGCAGTGCGCCACGAATTGCTGGACCTCAGTGCCCAATCCCGGCCACCAGTATACATCACTCAAGGCCCACCTGGTCTTTTTGACCCCTAGGTGCCCTCCGTACTTAGTGGCATGCACTTCTTCCAGAATATCGTTCCGCAGGCTACCTACGTGAGGTACAACGATCTCCTTCTTACGCCACCAGAGCTCATGCTCCCACTTGAGTTCCTTCGTGTTTCGTGGGTCTTGAAACCAGGAGTCAATTTGATACCCTGTGCGGATGCGTTTCAGGAAACCACTGAAGGTAATCTCACTCACTCGAGCCGTTGCTAGGACACTGAAGTAGGCAGAAAATACTACCGCATTCTCTGTGTCGTCTAGACGTGTTGCTGCCCCTATCGGCTGTCTGCTGAGGGGGTCAGCCAGGTTCGTCGAACCCGCTCGATATCGAATATCGAAGGTGAACCCACTAAGGAGTTCCGCCCATCGGGCTTGACGTCGAGTAAGCGTGGCTTGGGTGGAGAAGTAGGTGTTTGGACAGTGATCAGTCGTAACCACAAAGTCCACACCCTCTAGATAACATCGCCATGTTCGTAGCGCATGAACGACCGCCAACAGTTCTTGTTCGGACGTCGTATAGCGCTGCTCTGCCGGGGAGAGCTTTCGACTCTCAAATGCCACTGGTCTCCCTTCTTGCAAGAGGACCGCCCCAATCCCAATCAATGAAGCGTCAGTAACAACCTCCTAGGGCTTTGTCGGATCTAGTAAAACCAGAACCGGAGCATTGGTCAGCAATTGCTTGACCTCGTCGAATGCCTTTTGGCATTGTTGTGTCCATTGCCAAGCACTACTCTTGCGAGTGAGGACCGTCAATGGGGCAACAACGGTAGAATAATTCTGCAAGAATCGACGAAAATAGTTCGCCAGTCCCAAAAACGACCTGATTTGACCCACATCTTGTGGTACCGGCCAGTTCTGGACTGCGACAACTTTCTTTGGGTCTACTTTGAGACCATCATTTCCCACGAGATGGCCAAGATATTCCAACTCGCGTTTGTAGAAATGACACTTCCACAGACGAGCATAAAACTTATGCTCTCGAAGTTTCCCTAACACCCACTTAAGGTGTCGCGTGTGCTCCTCTTCCGTCCTAGAGTAAACCAAGATGTCATCCAGATAGACTAAAACGAACTGTCCAATTGCCTCGCGAAAGATATCATTCATAGCTCTCTGAAAAGATGAAGGAGCATTGGTCAAGCCAAAGCTCAGCACTCGCCACTGAAAATGACCAAACGGCGATCGGAAAGCCGTCTTGGGTACATCTTCTTCGGTGATGCGCAATTGGTGATACCCCTGCGCGAGGTCCAATGCGCTGAACCACTGGGAACCCTGGAGTTTGTCGAACAGGTCCTCTATTCTCGGTAGGGGATACCTGTTCTTCACCGTTATCTTGTTCAAAGCACGGTAGTCTACGCACATGCGTAACCCTCCGCCCTTCTTGTTCACGAACAAGATCGGCGCTCCGTAAGGTGATGCGCTTGGTTCAATCCATCCCTTCCTGAGATACTCCTCAATTTGCTGTTTAGCCTCCTCGTACTCAGCTGGACTGAGGCGATACAGAGGTCTAAAAGGTGGGAGTTTTCCAGGCTCCACTGGAATGGTGTGACCGATAGCACGGTCCGGAGGAAGGCCATCTGGGATGGGTTCAAAAACCTCTGCAAACTCGTCTGCCAGTGCTTTCCTCTGAGGCGGGAAATCTTCGACCCCAGGCATCTCGTGTTGAGCGTTCTCAAGCTGTACCACAAAGAAGGTATCGGCTTGTCGAACATGCTGTCCGAACTCGTTCGCAAGCGCAAAACTCACATCGGGACGCTTCGACGTTTGCTGTTCGTTCGTGATCAAGTCCTTAGGCACTTTCCATTGGACTGTGTCACCATTCTTTAAGAATGAGACAGTATTGTCCTGGAAATCGAGCTTGACTTCATTCGCTCGAAGCCAATCCATTCCAAGGACAAGGTCGACACCTGCGAGAAGGGGCAAAACATACGCGCGGATTTCTTCGTGATAACCCTCGATCTCCATGTTGATCCGTGTCTGCCCTTTGCTTGGGATGATGCTATCGTCACCAAGGCGAATGGGGCAAGACGGTCCTTCAACTAGGATCGTGCGTGCTGTGACCCACTTTTCGTTAAAGAGGGAAACAGTTGCACCCGTGTCAACAAGGATTTTTGCATTATCCCCGTTCACGCTACCCGCAAGCAACAAATTTTGTTGATGCTTTGGGCGAATAGGACATGCCACAATACTCGTCGAAGGTTTGAAGTACACCTTGACGTTGTGACGAGCGCGTCCATGTGACTGAGATTTGGTCCACCACACATGGTGTCCCTTGTCCCATGCGGCTAGGACTGGCCATCCACGAAGCATATGGAACAATTCGCCTTTTACTGTGCGAGTCACCAACGCAACCGAAGTCAGGGGGTGCTCTTGAGTGCAACGACTCACTATCTCAATGGCAGAACGCAGAATGTCCAAACCACAGAAAATAATTGAAAATTTATCTTGCATTGCTTCCATGGAAATTTTCTCAAGTGGGTACGATCGAGGATAAAAAAACGGAGTTTCTATTAAAAGAAGAGGCAAACAAACAAGAGATTTTGCAATCAGCAAGCTTCTCTAGCTTTAATAGATCATCATCACATAGCACATATGCCTCATCCACTCGATCTACTCCTCCAACTAGGTATCCACACCCTAGTTGGGCTTATGAAAATCCTTCTTTCCAGAAGGTCCAGCTCCGCCTGGCTTAGGCTTCCCAGAATACTTGATAGCATTCTTATCACGGCATTGCTTTATGATGTGCCCCATCCTTCCACAGCCTTTGCACTGCTTGTTGGAGAAGTCCGGCTTGTTAGGTCCATGACCTCCCCCTCCGTTAGGCCTCTTGGCCTGTGGGCCAGGCTGGTGATCACGCTGCTGGAAAGGCCTTTTGTTCCAACCGCTTCCACCCTTCGCATTCTGGGGCCGGTTCCCATGACCACCAGAGCCCTCAGAACGGGGCTGCAGGCTTGTCTTTTCGAGGCCAAAAATGTACGTGCGAATGATGTTGTCGGTTTTGATCACCTGCTTCTTCATCTCCTTGTAAGTCGTCCAATTGGTCATGCCGCCGGTCATGTGTGCCTGCTGCAGGTTGACAGGGAGGCCCTTCATGAAGATGTGCATCATCTCCTCCTCAGCCAAGGGCTTTTGGAGCAAGCGTGCTGCGGCCTCCAACTCGACCGCATATTCCTGCACCGAACGGTCATGACACTTGATACGCTCAAGGCGTCCGCGCAGTTCCAGGTCGGACTTTTTGACCATGAATGCCTCTTTCAGCGCGATGCAGAACTCCGGCCATTCAAACGGTCCCTGTGCCTGCTTCTTAGCACCATACACAGCCCTGCGGGCCACCTCGTCCAACGCACGAGTAGCTGCAGTGACGCGAGCCTCGGGGCGCACATTTGCAAGGATCATGGTGGAATCCACCAGGTCGAGCCAAGGCTGCACCTCCGTCCTGTTATGGTTAAATTCAGGCAGAGGCGCCGCGAGGGACCCAAAGGGCGAGGTCTCAGTTGGAGGTGGCTGATGCATAGCCGTCGCAGCACCTACCGCCGGAGGTGCGGGCGGAGCGGGTGCCGGCTGAGCAGCAGGAGCGGACCTACGCACAGGAGGAGGTTCGTAAATACCCTCTCTCCTAAGATGTGTCAACTGCTCATTGAACTTGTTGCACGATGCTTGCAGATTCTTGCAAGTCTTCAGAAGCCACTCAATTTGGCGTTTTTTAGTGCCCAGGCTGCGACGGAACTCTGTAACCTCCTTCATGGTAATGCTCAGTCTAGCCTCGAGGTTCTGAGTGTGCTTCTTGAGTCCATCAATGGACGTCTGCTGCTGCAGGATGGTGATATTCTGAGTTGCCACCTTAGCCTGGAGTCGAACAATCTCCTCGGAGATAGGATAAGTCGTGCCTTCACCCTCAGTGAAGTCATTTTCATCACTAGTGGCCTCATTTCCACCGGTGTTATCCTCTTCCCCAAGGTTGTCAGCGCCACCATGGTTCTCAGCTTCACCATGGTGCTCAGCTTCATCATGGTTCTCAGCTTCACCATGGTTATGCTCATCTCCAAGGTCCAGGTCCAAGTCCTCAATATCATCCAACTCAATGTCAGCCATTGCCTCATCTTGATTGAGGTCAATCTCAGCAGCATTGTTCACCATCTCATTAGGTGCAGTGGGCCCTTCCTCCCTTGCCATATCCTTCTCTTGGCCAGATGCCATAAGGATTAAGGGAGCTTGTACGATCTGGGTTGATTCTGTTAAAGTCTTTTTACCACCTCAATGGTAAAGCAAGAAATTCTTATAAAAGAAATTTCTTCTACAGAATAATTCAAGTTACCCAAGGTAACAGATTTGTTGTCAAGCACTCCCAATCACCTAGGTGAAAGGGCAGGGTCTATCCAAATCTAAATGAAGAGAACTTGTATAACCCTCAACAAATCCTCCAGATCCAAGTTTATACTCCACTACTCAACAGTAGAGCGTCTTCCACCAAAAGGTGGGCAAGAGAGATAAATATCTCTTCTTAGCTTGAAATTGCGGTTGTAGATCTTGTAGATCTTGAACTCTTCAAGCTTCCAGATCTTGAGTGTTATCTTAAATAGAAACCACAACTCCAAGATCTATATAAAAAAAGAATCTCTAGGGGCAAAATCCCCACTAGGCTTAGGATAACCCTAGCTCTAGATACCAATGTAACAATCACGGCCCTTATAACAACGGGCAACCGTGTGTTGAATATAAATCACCCTTGACAACAATAATAAATTCAAGATACAAGGCTTTCAAGATTTACTAATCCCATCAAGGGATAATTTAGCCTTGATAGTACTCCTAAGCTTGAGAGAAGAAGGGGAGCTTGAAGAAGGTTGATGAAACTTTAATAAGTAGGTAGGAGCTTCTTGTAGAGCTTGTTCTTGAAAAAATCACAAGTCTAGTTGCGTAGGGGAGCTTATTAGGAGAACCCAAAAGACTTAGAGTGAAAATCCCATTTCCAAGTTAGATTGTTGGAGTTGAGAAGTGGGAATGAGCTTGAGAGCTCCAACCCCTTCCATCATACCCCTTGGGGCTTTTCCCAACCATGGCTTCCATGGTTGGGGAGCTAATAGGCTTGGAGCCTAGGTGGCAATTTAGTTTGGTTGGGAAAAACCCAACTTAGCACAATTGTATGGTTGTTTTAAGTTTGTGTGGATTGTAACAACAACTGGCACAATTTGATTGGTTGGAAATCCAACCTTTCCAATCTTCACTTTGATGGGTTGGAAGTTTCCAAACCTCAAGGTTGAGGGTTGGGAAAACCAAACCAATGTTCTTCTCCAACTCAACCTTTCCGATTGCCTTCACGTCATTTCTCATCGAGGAAGTCTCTCGATGTTGACTTAGGAAGTTAGCGATAGATGAGGCAGAGTAGGTTATGCGTTACATGCGTCGTTTGTATGGCTAACGCGCACGTGTCAAATGCTTACCGCGCTATTTCGCAGTAAACTCTTCGCCCCCCGCGATCGCCATAAATGATATGGCAGTGGTTTCATTCGTGAGAACTGACTGTTATAGAACGTTTGATTTTAACGCGTTCGACCTCGTGATTTCGTAATCGAGGCTTTTGTCTGCACTATCCTTGACATGGCTGATTCGGAGAAACGGCCTAACCATGTAGGTCAACCTCCTCTATCACAAGGTAAAGAAGCCGGGGTCTTTCTTTACAGTGCGCTTCTCGATTCCTTCTTCTCGTGATTTGCTTTCTCAAGCCGTAAATTCATTTTCCAACAGGAAACGGGCAAGATCGTGTACATGGAAACTGGAAAAGATTTTATTGATCTGCTCATGGCGCTTCTTCGAATTCCCGTTGCCACCTTGCTGAAAATCTCCAAGCAGAGCGGGAAGTCGCCCAAGGAACATGTTAGGATCTTCAACGTTTTCTCCAGCACAGAATAGCTTGAGCAGTCATACATGCAAGTGGATAAGGGAGTCGTTTTGAATCCACCCGCTCAAGGGTCTGCGCAGCTCCAGCTACTTGATTTTCAGGAAAAGGAGTATTTCACGTGTCAGACTGCTCACTGGAGGATATCTCTTGTTCTTGGTGCTGCTTGTCCTGATTGTAGAGTGATCATGTCTACGAAGGTGAAGCCTCTGGAAGGCGAGGCTGTGAAGGAGTATCCCAGCTTCTACACATGTGCTCAGCGCCACCGAGTTTCCAGCCAGGTTAACAAGACATGCCCGGACTGTGGGACCAACATGGGGAATATTTTCTACCGGGTGGATAAGAGCATCAACGAAGAGTTTTCTGCGAGTTTTGTGAAGGATAATGTTACCTTCAAGGTTACCGACACCCTGGAGTTCTTTCCCAGCTCCACCATCAGGAGCATCGACCTCCTGAATAGTCTGGGTGTGAAGGCTATGGGCGATCTCAAGAGCTGCCAGAAAGTTGTGACTAAGGATCATGTAAGTGGGGATTTGTGCACTTGCTGTGTGTTGTTGCATGCATCCTGACTCCTGTTTCCCTTTTCCTTTGCAGGCGTTGGCACTGGTGGAAGCTGCACTGGCATCATCTAATGCGTTGAATGATGTTTTTGGGTACATTGTGACAAAGAGTTGATTTGGACAATGATACTGGTACCTATTAGAAAATACTCCCTGTTACCGAATCTGGTTATGATTGCATATCGTAGCACATGTACAGATGTACAAAACCACTACCAAATACTAACAAAATTTCTTTCCATCCACGCTACCTACTTCAAGTTTTGGCATGATACCATATCCTTTGAGAACAGTATTGTAACTGACTTAATAGAGGAAAAACTTTCACAGCATCGAGCAGCACAAATCTTCACATGCAGCTGCATCATGCCTAAGCCAGCATAGCTGCCTGCATCGCCACAGAGTATGGCCTGCAACCACACAGCCTAGCAGCTGCTGCAGCCCAGGTAGATGAGTCACCTGCTACTGCTGTACTGTGTGCAAAAGGGGGGAAAGTGCAGCAAACTGCAGCCGTGCAGAGCCAGGCAGAGTGAGGTCTGGCAGGGGAGCTGGATATCAGGGGAAAGAAACAGGGGTGAGGCAAGTGGCGCGGACAGGAGGGGATCAATTGAGGAGCAAAAGATGGAATTTGGCCTGGCCATAGAAGAACAATCATGTGACGCAGACTATTGTGCAACACCACCAAGATCTAAGCGAATGATCAATATGGGATGGTGAGACTGAGTTGAAGAAAGAAGTTAAAACAGAAAGGAAGGGGGGGAAGAAGGAGAATCGACTACAAGAGGGCGCTACATGTCACATGGTGGCGAGTGTGTATGGTAGAAGTAACTACTAGGCCCATATATTTAAGTTATCCCATGGTTGGCGACGAGCATATGTTGAGTACACATATTCGCCTCACTCCTCATCCCGTGCCCCTCCTGGTACCAAGCAATCACCAGATCTCACCTTGCTCCTGAGCTTGTCACAGCTGGGGATATTGCTCTCTGACAGCACCAGCACACATGCTCGCAGCACCCACATGGCTTACTCCCGTGCTCCCACTTCTCCCCTGCCGCTGCTTCTGCTGCTGCCTCCCCTGCCCTGTCCCGGAACCCTCCACCTTCCCGCCACACCACATGCCCCCCCCATTCCAGCTCCCACTCCCTTACTCTCCCACTGCGTTCCATACTCCCCCCCTCCCTTTTTGAAGCCCGATTCCGTCGATTCTCATCATAAGGTTTACCGCAGCACGGTAATATCAATCCACTCCCTTACTCTCCTCCGCCTGCAACACCTCTCCCAACCCATCTGTACGGCCTCTGCTCTCTCTCCACCACCAGGCCTCGGGTGGGGGGGGGCGGGTGGGGAGGGCGGGTGGGGAGGGTGGGTGGGGAGGGCGGATGATTGTCGCAGCCCCCCGAGGTGAAAGCGGTTTTCAAGAATGGCCACCACCGATGTGACGTTGCGCCTCAGCCACTTGTGCAGTGCCACCTGGCGCAGACACAGAAGGGAACAGGTAGGAAAAAAGAGAAAGGGAAATTGCAATGCAGCGACGTGGGCAAGCAAGCGGGCAACAGGGTGAGGGCGTTGGGGAAAGGGGGAGGAGTGTTTGGCGAGTTGGATGGAGTATGAATGGTGTCTCAAAAATGGCTTCATTCCGCCATCTCACCTCATTCCTCCTCTTCTTGAATTGTCGAAAGGAATGGTACTCCTCCTGAACAAAGATAGCACCGCATCCATGCTCACTCCTCCATTGCCACTGCCGCTGTCGCTGCCACTGTTGCTGGTGCCGGTGCTGCGGCTGCCACCGCCGCCACCACCGCTGCTGCTCTCCTGTCTATCACTGCTGTTTTGCCGCCTCTGTCAAGGCGAGCAGTGATGTCGTCGTTGCGGACTCTGGAGCTGTCAAGGAACGCCTTCACAGGAAATATACGCGTGCAGACGAGAATATAGGAATACAGTGATTCTTGCTTACTAGTGCGTTCACTTCGCCATCGTTCTTCCAAGCCTCCTCGAACTCAGTTGTGGGGATGAAGACGTTGAGACAAGAACCTATCAAAGAGGAGTTGAGAAACTAATTGCTGATGATGGTCGACTTGGATATCTCATGGAAGTGCAACATCAAATGCACGGCGGAAACTTACTCGTTCATTTTCCTATCGTTGTTTCCGAGAGCCCAAAGACCAAGGTTGCAGCTTCAAGTTTGTGCCATATGTCGCATGGCCGTGTCATCCTGCTCATGCACCACTGCTCGCAGCAGCGGTGGCATGAACTCCTCGTCAGGGCATGCTTGTCGGACGAGAATGACCCTTTCAGCTTCATCCCAAGTCTGTTGGTGCCATATGCCCCAACGGTGAACTCTCTTCTTACGAGTTGGTAGTCCCAATGCAGAGACAAAGGCTCGCATGGAGAAAAGAGCCATATCGACACATGATTAATTGGAAATAACGAATCATGCAAATAAGAATCGGAGTCAAAGCTAATTCTGAGGTACGTCTGACATCAACAAACAGTTACAGGAGCGAGCAAAACGACGTCAACCTAGAATAGTACCTAGCTGCTGGGCATGGATGAGGCGTTGAACATTCATGGGGATTGCACACAGTGTGGTGCTTACCAGTGAAAATGAGTGTGGTAAGGCGTGGTGCTGAATGAGATGTTTGAGTGCTACTCGCAAGAAGATCGAATAATATTTGCGATTACTTGTGCCAACGGAATCAATGCCTCGGGCTGGCAAAATGCTGACCAGTGTATCTTAT